GCACCATGTCTGGAGCAAAAAGGAGCAGGAATAGAAAGAATAGCTACCATTCGATGCATTTTTACACAAGGAACTATATAGATGAGCCAAAATAGCAGAACCCCAACTATATGTGTTTATTTTATCAAATTGTCTTAACAAGGGTAAATACATGATATTAGCAGTATTACCCGTTGTTTCAGGAAATAAAAAATGGCCAAATAATATCATTATGTAACATCGAGCTTTCACAATTTTTTCTTGCTCCGTAGAGTTTTCGGTTATTACGAGACTACTATGATATTCTCTAAGAAGACGGAGATTAATACCTTGGCCTCTAGACCCTTGTTAAAATAAAGAGACTCCCAAAAGTTCCTCGCATATGGCGTTGTCTTGGATGACTCGACCATTGACAGCCTTACCATCGATCGGTAGACCGAATAACATGTACACGTCCTCTAGTGTGACTGTATATTCACCACACGGAAGATGAAAGGTGTGAGTTTCGGGTCTCCATCTCTCCACTAATGCGAGAATAATTTTATAGTCAACATGGTAATTGACTATGTTGAGTAACGGACCAAAACTGGCATGTCGTAAGTATGGCTCAATTTGAACATCGTAAGGGACATACTCATGGACAAGGCAACGAAATATTTTAACATCCTATTAAAAACATGAATTACGTATAAGAAATACAAGATTTATGTATAACAATCATAAGAATTACAGAAATAAAATTTGTCGGCAAAAAATAGGTATTGAGGAAAATACACTTACAAAGGTTTCAATGTTATTGAGACTTCCTCTATGTTGATCACCCATGGTCAAGAGAGACATTTTTTCTTGATTACACTTGTGTTGTTGTTGATTTTTCAAGAAAGAAATAGTGTGTGAGTTATGATTGTGATGAACATAGAGGGTGAATGTTACATGTATTTATAGAAAAATCTTAAAGAATACTATGCATTCACGTGAGAATACTTTGCATACAAGAGATACACATAAGCGCCACCCTAGCTGGCACATCCTCTTGTTTAATACACATAGGCACCACACTAGGGGGCACATGCTCTCTTTGATACACATATGCACCATTCAACATGGCTTGTTGCTTTTTGCATGCTTGCAAACCTGCAACGTGGCAATGATCAGATGGCATGCATGCAATTTTGTTGTTCAATGACAAGCTACCCTAGGTGGCGCATGGATGTAAAAAGAAGATGACAAGCCACCCTAGGTGGTGCATGCAAAAATAAGAGGACAAGCCACCCTAGGTGGTGCATGCAAGCAAAATATAGAGTACATCTCATACTTTCATCAGTCTATTTAATCGTCTGTGTAAGGTGCATTACTAGTATACATCTATAACTCACAAAAAACATTCCTCAACAACATGGATCATTCACAAAATTATACTATCGTTTCCCATATTAACGGTGAGACGTTCAACTGCGATAGCTTAGGTTTTAATTTCCGTAATACCGATTTTATCCACTTTCGGATAAACAAGAAATCAAGTTTTGCACGCTTCAAAGAAGCCAAATTGCAGTGTGGTCCAGTTTACCAAATTCTTTACAAGTCCCCATTTCTATTTGACAACAAACAAGTCAGATTTTATCAACTAAAGGTGTGCGACAATGATGATGTTTAAAACATGTTTCGAACTCATGAACAATCAGGGTTCAATGAGATTGAGCTTTATGTTTTATTACAACAACCAGATCAATCTCAGGTGGTAGATCCTTCTCAAGACTTTGAAGAATAGGATGAATCTGACGAGGACAACCATCCCGAAGTCGATGTTATTGACCAGGAAGAAGAAGATGATGAGGCAATGATTGATTTTATAGTCAATGATGACACTGCAGATCAAGAGCATGACCCTGTACCTACGAGTCATGCGTACGACCCTCCATTTCACATGATGAACTTGAACTTGGGGGAAGATGAACCAGCCTCAGATATCTTTCATAATCCTTATATGCAGACCGAATGGTCCTTGAAAGTTGGAGACAAATTTCGAACAAAATAAGAGTGTCTTAGAGCTATCAAAAAATACCACATGGAAATTTTAGCTGACTTCACTGTAGATAAAAATAATTCAGGGAGGTACGTTATTTTATGTCGTCAAAAACCAATTTTCCCTTTTCCGTTAACTGCATATTACATGAAGAGAAGTCATTCATGGGAAATAGGTACCATTGATCCACTCCACACTTGCATCACCACCGTTCCGATGCAGGATCATCGGAAACTTAGTTCTAAACTAATATGTCAAGAAATCTTGCCTCTTATTAGCAAGGATCCATCATTAAATGTGAGTACAATTATTTCTCATATCACTACAAGATTCAATTATACTCCCTCTTACAAGAAGGCATGGATCGAGAGGACTAAGGCAGTTGAACTTGTGTACGGTAATTGGGAGGAATCGTACAAAGAACTTCCAAGGTTTTTGGTGGCACTCAAATATTATGCTCCGGGAACTGTTATAATTTTGGAGACACTCCTGACATTTACCCCAGACAAAACTCGTGTTAGTGGAAATGGAATATTTCATCGAATGTTCTGGGCGTTTGAACCATGCATCAAGGGTTTTGCATTTTGAAAACTTATTTTACAGATTGATGGGACTTGGTTATACGGGAAGTATAAAGGAACATTACTCATGGAAGTGGCACAAGATGGGAACAATAATGTTTTTCTGATTTCCTTCGCTCTAGTTGAAGGTTAGACAGGTGGTGCATGGAATTTCTTTATGAAGAATCTCCGATTACACGTTGCTCCTCAACCTAACCTTTGTTTGATTTCAGACAGACATCCATCAATTGTGAGTGCATACAATAACCCTGATAACGGTTGGAAGGATCCCCCTTCAACACATGTCTATTGCATTAGACATATCACACATATTACATAACGGTTGGGGTCATTTTCGACACAAGAAGTTCAAAATGGAGGGCAGTGTTACAATCAGGGCAGTTGTTCAGTGAATGCACAATGAAATCATTTAACGAGGAGGCTACCAAAGAAAACACCCATAGTGTCACCGTGTTTGACCGTATTAAAGGTTGGTTCAGTGTACAAGAGACAATGGATCATAATGAGGAGAGGCTAATGGGATATTATCGGGTCGAACTAGATAGAGGTTGGTGTGATTGCCGAAAGCTTTAAGCATTTCGCATGCCTTTCTCTCATGTCATAGCGGAATGTTCGCATGTTCGCTTGGACCCAATACAACATATATCCCCCGTGTACACAGTAAAGAGCATTTTAAGTGTGTACATCAATACCTTCTCCGTGTTGGCAAAGGAGGATTATTTTCCTACTTATCAAGGGGACATTATTTGGCACAATGAACAAATGCGATAGAAGAAAAAAGGGAGCCCGAAAAGCACTCGTATTAGAACTGAAATGGATACGACCAACAAAATGATAAGATTATGCAGTACATATCGTCTTCCCGGACACAATCAAAAAAATTGTCTGAATATTAGGTCTAGCTCTACAAACTAACTTTTTTATAGCAAACTTTTCAAAGTGTTTAATTTGTTGTACGCAATATATTTTAATTTAAATCCGGGTTAACATTTCGTGTTCAATTTATCATTTGATTACAACAACTTTCACATAATGACACAAAAAATTACAACACCACAAACTCAGAACAACAATACAACAACATGATAAACAAATAAAATAACTAAAATCATAATATCTAAGAGATAAAAACATCAACATAATATTGTCTGGTCCAAGCATCATCATCATGACATTAGTGTCGCATCTCACCTTTTTACATGATCGGCTTACTCCATTTTTGTTCCTCACTGTAATATGCCTTTCTATTTTTCTGACCTGTTCACCTTTAGGAATGTCTCCTTCCAACCAGGGAATCAAGTGCCTCTGAAAATGCTCGAACGTCTGCGTGTTCCAGAGTTTGATCTTCACCGGAGGCTTTGTCTCCGAAAAAATAACATGCGCATCTCTTTTGATCAGTGAAAACTTTGGCAAGGGAGTTGAAGAAATTTTCTAAGAGTTATGTAACAAATGGTGTGAAAAAATGAAGAGGATGGACGGTTGCATTTATAGAAAACCATATAACACTATCAAGCTAAGGAAGATGGCGCCTCCGCTCTGAAAATACATGCACGCGCCACACTGCATGACTTTACATAGAAGGACAAGTCATGCAGTATGGCGTCTCCTCTTTAAAATGCATGCATGCACCACACAGAGTGGCTACTCCTCTGTGGCGAAACTTTTTTTGTTTGAAAAGTGGTCAGTTTGATAAATTTTTTTAAAATTTGATTATTTGGGAATTTTTTTTGAAAGAAAGTGGTTATTTGAAAAGAAAATTCAAATATTTTTTATTATAATATTTTTATTTTAAAAGTAATTTAAATTATGATTTTTAATTAATTAAATATTTTGAATTAAATTTAAATTTAAATTTAATTAACTAAATAGTTTATAATAATAGTTAAGTTTATTAATCATTTAAATAATTCAGAATTTTTTTTGATTCAGTACAATTCAATTTAAATATCTAATTCAACTTAACTATATTTTTGCACATTTATAGAATAACAGAGAATTTAATGAGAAGTTACGAACAAGTTATTTTGTCTTAATAATATATAAAGAATTTAATTTTAAAGGGAAGAAGATAATATGTATTTTTGTGTGAAAGGAAAACAAATTATTGTCTTAATATATAAAGAATTTATTTCTAAAGAGGAAGATAAGATGTATTTTTGTGTGAAAGGAGAAGGAAGATGATATTAACCACTTAAAAAAATAGTATAGCTTCCATAGGAAAATAATCATAAGACAAAAAATAGACATAGATATTTTACATGTTGAGATTTTTTATTCCACTCCCAAACAAAACCAATGTGAAGAACAAAATCAAAGTAAAAGACACAACAATAACATAGTTATGTTTAGGAAAAACAATCTTAACATCAAAACAATATTTGCTTCACTTTTTTTGGTTTTTATTTTACCCATATCCAATGTTGCACTCTCACTTACACCATAATAATCACAAGTTTCTCTTCCCAAATCTACCTGTTTCTCTCACCACACACCATTTTTTTTCGCCATCACCTCTTGTTCATGATTTTGTCCATAGACCAACAAGTAATTCTCACACTGTTTCAGTTATAAATCCTCTTCATGTTGAACTTTCACTTTCACCGTGGTTAACCAAATTAACCACAGAAACATTGGAATTAGGCACCGTTATTGATACTATAGATGACTCTTCTTTGAATCAAGTTACTTTCAGTGTTGTTCTCAGTGCAGCCATTGCTGTGTTATTCTTTCCCACCATCCAACGCAGGATCAAGACAGCAAAACAATTGGTATACTCTCTTTTTTCCCCATTAATTCAAGCAATTTATGGCAAATTTAAGAAACTTTAGTTCAACCTTAACTAGTATTTGAAATTTATGAAGATTAAAATAATAATTTTCATTTCTAAATGACCATTTTAGAAATATAGGTCTTCTGGAGTGAAGAAGTCGTCATTGAATAGCTTGAAAACTTCTAAGAAATCTAAGAAACGACCTTCACCAGATCAAGCATTGTTAGGAGCAATTATAGCTGGTATTATCGCGGTCATTCTCTATAGATTCACAACAACTATTGAAGCATCACTATATCGCCAATCAATTTCAGATAATTTCTCTGTTAGTACATCATATATTTTCTTCTCTCCTTTTTCTATCATCTAAATATTGAATTTAACTCGTTATAATCAATGTCTTGTTCAGGTTCGCCAGATAACAATCACCATAAGGTACTCATCCCTATAGAAAACTTAATATTTTTGTCTTATAAGGTATATCTCATCTGATAATAATAGTAATAATAATGTGATGTTTGTCTCACAGGACAGTAATAAATGGCTTGTGTTACCTTGCTACATTTGTGTATGGCATAAACTCTTTTGGTTTATTGCTTTATTCTGGACAACTTGCCATCAACACCTATGTGAAAGGGTCATCAAATGGGAAAGAAAGTAGTGAAAGCAAAATAATGGAGCAGACAGTTCTATCAAGTTCATCGGATGAAGATCAAAGTTCAAATAATTCACAGTAATCAAAGTTCTTTTTTGGGACATTTTGGTTTTTAACAAGTGTTTAGGGTGTGCTGTTTTTATACATGTGCATAATGTTTGTAAGTAAAGAAACTATAGCATTTATACTAGTTTCCACAATTTTATACAAATACAATATATTTTTCTAATTGTAGTTTTGGACCTATAAGTATTGTTATTGAACAATTTTGTGTATGAGGGATGAGTTCATTAGTACATGAAAGACTTTTTATACGGGGAGAAAAGTCTATTTTATATTGGATTTGGATCCGATATAAATTCAAGCGATATATTAAATCAAAGACATTTTATATCGGATAACAGTCTAATATGAAAAATTCACCTACCACATCGGTTGGATGTTAGGTCAGATGTGAAAAAATACCATTTAAAAAAAATATATGCAATATTTTACCTTGATTGTCTAACTGGTCCGATGTAATATAAGGTTTTTAACATCGGTTGCCTCAAAGGTTGATGTAATATATAGGTTTTAACATCGGTTGCCTCAATGGTCCGATGTAATATTTGCTTTTTTTAGCGGAATCAAGTGGATTCCCTGTAAAAAAAATTGTACTTAATTTTTCATATTTTTCCAACATCACACAGACCACATTTAGGTTGCTATTTTTCATATTTTTACCACATCACACATACCACATTTATGAACAATTGATTTATAAAAGTACTAATCTAGGATACACACAAGTGTACAAAATTATAAGGAAGTTTACACACGGTGGACTACTACAACAATAAAACCAGTGAAATTATACAAAAATATTCAACCATTTATAAGTCTTTTCTCACACTTGAAATACCTGTTAGAAATCCACCAAAGTCTATGATGAATTTCTACCACAATTACAATTAGTTATGAGACAAACAAAGAAAAGAAGACAAGACAAATAATTTCTGTAGAGTTTCTCTCTGCTCACAAACTGTGAAAACTTTGTTATTCACTTGCAACTGCAAATTCTGTGAATATAACTTGTTTGACTTGCTTAAAAAAATAGGGGTTACTATCTCTATTTATAACTGAGCTTACACCATAAGCCCAAAGCCCAAAATATCATTTTGTTACTAAATCAAATCTAATTTATTCTAGACTTAAATCAAATCTATTTAAATCTAAAACAAATCAAATCTTTTCGACACATAGTTTCGACACATTGGATTACAATTTAACACACCACCTAATTCATTGTGTCTAAACTATCTATGTTCGTCACGACTCTTAGCGTTCTATATACTTCGACTTGCACTCCCTTCGTCATGATGTCTGCAATCTGATTCTCAATTCTGCAGTGTTCCAAATTCATCTTCCCATCTTCTACCTGCTCTCGAAGATAATGGAACCTCATTTCGATGTGCTTACTTCGACCATGTGCTATTGGGTTCTTCGCCAGATTAATAGCTGACATGCTGTCTATCTTCATGATAATTGCTCCATGATTTTTCCCTGTTATCTCTTCGACCAAGTTCACGATCCGAGTTACTTGACATGCACAAAGAGAAGAAGCTACGTATTCTGCTTCGCATGATGATAATGCCATTACTGGTTCCTTTCTTAAATTCCAAGCAACTGGTGCACCACCTAGCATAAACACATATCCTGCTGTTGACTTTCGATCTTCAGCATCACTACACCAACTCGAATCAGTGTATCCCACTAACTTGCATTCTTTTCCTTTATCAACTGCAGGAAACAAAATGCCATAATAGAAAGTTCCTTTGAGATACCTTAGTATCCTCTTCACTGCTGCTAGATGTGATACCTTTGGCTTCTGCATGAATCTACTTACCATACCTACACTATATGCTAAGTCAGGCCTTGTATGACAAATGTATCTCAATGATCCAATAAGTCTTCTGTATTGGGTTGGATCAACTTCATCTTCATCTGCAGCTTTCGACAGTTGCAGTCTTGGTTCTCCAGGTGTCGAAGTTGAGTTGCATTCTTCCATCTCAAACCTCTTGAGAATTTCTCCTGCATATCTTCTTTGATGCATCATCAAACCTCTACTGCTCTTGTAGAATTTGATACCAAGGAAATATGAAATCTCACCCAAATCAAACATTTCGAATTCCTTGCTGAGATCACCTTTGAAGTCTTCGATCTCACTTTTACAGCTACATGTTATCAATAAATCATCTACATAAAGAAATAGTATAAGCAATTTACTCTTGCTTCTTCTTACATATACTCCATGTTCAGTTGTGCACTTCACAAATTCCTTCTCCCTTAGAAAACTATCAATTTTCTTATTCCAAGCCCTTGGAGCTTATTTCAATCCATACAGGGCTTTATGTAGCCTATACACCTTTCTTTCTTCGTTATGTTTCACAAACCCAACTGGTTGTTTAACATAGACTTCTTCATCTAAGGCTCCATTTAGGAATGCACACTTCACGTCCATCTGACATATGTGCCAACTGTTTATTTCTGCTATACCAACAACCAACCTGATTGTTTCGATCCTAGCAACAGGTGCAAAAACTTCATCGAAGTCTATTCCTTCTTTCTGTAGAAATCCTTTCGCCACAAGTCTTGCTTTGTGTCGAGTTACTTCACCTTTCAAAACCGTTTTCACTTTGTATACCCATTGACATCAATTTCCTTCTTGCCTTGAGGCAATTCGACAAGTAACCAAGTGTTGTTGTCTTCGATAGACTTTACTTCTTCATTCATTGCTTTCACCCACTTCGAATCTTTTAATGCTTCAGCTGCATTAACAAGTTCGACATCTGCATAGAAAGCATAATGTACCAGCTCACCTTCATCATCTATTACATCATCTGATGTAATCACACAATTTTGAAATCTTGCAGGCATGCGTCTTGTTCTTTGAGGCCTGCTTGTACTTGGTATATTTGTTGGTTCCTCTTGTCGAACTTCTCTTTCGACTTGAGTTTTTGGCTCTTCAAGAAGGATTCCCACTGAATCTTTCTTGATATTTTCAGTCCAATCCCATTCTTTAAACTCATCTATGATCACGTCTTTGCTGATCACAATCTGCTTTTTCACTGGATCGAACAACTTGTAGCCTCCTGTCAAATGATATCCAACTAGAATCATTTGACTTGACTTGTCATCAAGTTTTCTTCTCAACTGATATGGCACATGTCTATGTGTAATAGATCCAAATACCTTCAGATGACTCAAGCTAGGCTTCACACCAGACCAACGTTCTTCTGGAGTAATTCCTTCTAGCTTCTTTGTAGGACATCTGTTCAAAATGTATGTTGCAGTCGAAACAGCTTCACCCCAAAACTCTTTAGGTAAATTCTTGCCTTTCAACATACTTCTCACCATATTCATGATGGTTCTATTTTTCCTTTCTGCAATTCCATTTTGTTGTGGAGTATAGGTTGGCACCACCTCATGCATAATCCCTTCCTTTTCACATAATCTGTCGAAGTCTTTCGACACATATTCTCCACCACCATCAGTTCTCCAAACTTTGAGCTTTCGACCACTTTGTCTTTCGACCATAGACTTAAACTTGGTAAATACTTCGATCACTTCACTTTTCTTCTTGATCAAGTAAGTCCATAGCTTTTGACTGAAATCATCTATGAATGTAACAAAGTATTTGTTACCTCCCATCGAATCCATCTGGATTGGTCCACATACATCAGAGTATATGACTTCAAGACTAGCCTTCGATTTGCTTCCTGCATCCTTGCTGAAGCTATTCTTGTGTTGCTTCGCCTGCACACATTCCTCACATACCTCGTTTGGAATGTCAATTTCTGGAAATCCTGAAACCATATTATGATACGGTGGGAGAACTGACTTGAGGTTTTGCGTTTGCTTTCGCAAATGTTTCGGTTGAACAAGAGTCGCCATCGACTTTTTATTTTATCCTAAGGAAAGGTTAAAAAGCACAGCAAAAACCTTTGAGATGTTTTCTTGGGTTCGGGGAGTAGATTATAGAAAGGGAAGGTATTAGCACCCTTTCTATCTGTTGTACCCCAAAATTTGCCCTCCCATATTCTCCAAGAAATTGCCAAGTCAAGCTGCAAAATTCCCCAAGGGTTGCACAGGGCAAAGGTCTCCTATACAGTCAAAACTAGGGTTTGTGTTCTGATCAAGAAAAGGAAGTTTTCAAAGGCCCAAACAAGTCCCATATGCCTACAAACATGGTCAAGTATCCTCATATCAAGTTTCAAGGCATTCAGCTCAAAATTGCACAGTCAAAACCCTAAATTGCACTACAGTCAACTGTAGGGGCAAAATGGTCATTTGACAGTCAAAAGTTCAAATTTTTGGTCAACATATCATTTTGAAGCCACAAACATCATTTGATCAATGCTTGATCATGATTCTCAAAATTTGGCTCAGAAAATCATCAAGATGCAAAAGTTTCCTTATTTGGACAGCTGAAAAAGTCAACTGAAATTGACCAGGGCATAACTTTCACATGGATTATCAGAAAAATTCCATCCAAAGCTCATTTTGAAGAGAAAGACATTTCCTACAACTCATCTTCATACTTCAAGTCCAAGAAATGCTCTCACAAAAAGTTATCAATTTCAACATTATAGGTCATTTTCAAAACTCAACAAAAAGGGACTTTAAGTCAAAGGCCATAACTTGAGATTGGTAAATCAAAATGACATGGGACCAAAGACATTGGTTAGAGGACTCAAATACCTTTCCAAAATGTCCAAGAACATGAGAAAAGCTTAAAAATTGAGCAAGTTATGCCTTGTGGAAGTTGGGAAATTTTTGGATATTTTGAAAAGTCAGCATTGATTCAAATGACCTAAAAATGCTAATGGGCCCATTTTTCTTCCATGATCCATCATTCTAAGCATATGCACGACTACTTGGCCCAAAGGGAAGTCTTTATTCATTTTTTATTTATTTATTTGAATTTTTATTTACAATAATTCATTTAAATCAAAATAAATGTATGAAAAATGCTAACCTAAAGTTTTAAATCTTTTTATGCATGTTTGATACTCAAGATTTCGTGTACATCCAATTATGGAA